GTTCATACAAGTTGTCGGCGTAATGGATAGTTCCGACTTGAATTTCTTTTTCAAAGTGATCTTTTATTTTTTTATTTCAACCATAAGCACCATCATTTCTAAAATTGTCTGATAGATTTTGATAATTATAAGTCTTAGTGGAGATATTGGTTGTTAAATGAGTTTGCCAACCATTTCTTTTTCTTTTTAGATATTTATAACTTTTATAAATACTTTGGGCTTTTTCAGTTCTACTTTTGCCCGTTCTAATTTCTTGGTCTAGAGTTTGGATTTGATTATCTAATTTTATTTTCTTTTCCCCCAATATTTCAATTTCAGGTTTGTCTATCAGTTTGCCTTCTTTATCTTTTTCGGTGATATTCTTTTTAGGAATCAATCTTTTTATTTCATTAAGTCATTCTTGACTATACTTATTATTTTTAGACATATTCAATTTTCTTTTTTGTATTATTGATGGTTAATTAGCAGCCACGATATAAGTAAACGACGCTGCTTTTTTTATCGTAATATCTCTAATATTTTTAACACCTCCCAGTTTATTCAGACCAATAAATATATAGGCATGAAATATATTCTCTTATTAGAAATTCCCTCCTCAGTTTCGATGGATAAAAGGCATCGAATAAATGTAGCACTGAAAAGTAAAAGTTATAGCAAACCAAAAAGGAACGTTTATTTGATAGAAGTAGCCACAGAAAAAGAAATTGAAGCCATTGCTGAATTTGTGCGACGCACGCTGGTAGATCCTAGATCTACAGTAATATATTATCGCCTGGCTGAATAAACTTATGATTCACATTTTTGCTAATATTTACAAAACCGAAAATTTTACTGAGCAAACCCAATCTAAAATCTGCTGTAAATCGATTTCTCATTATATTCTCCAATGTCCCTCTTGTCAAAAATTTATCTGTTTTAATCATGCGACTGTAAAAGTGAAACCTAAAAGTGAAGAAAAAATGCTAGTCTGCTTTTATTGCCAGTATAAATAACAAAAATGGGCGGAGGAGGTAATCAAAAATGAACCGGCGAATGAGAACCACTTAAGCCGAATGAATACAACCCAGGATCAATGAGGGGAAAAATTATTAAGGATTATGACCGTTTTTTTCTCCGTAAAAAACCACACAAAACAAATAAAACTAAAATATAACTGTATACATATAACAATATAACTATATAAAATAAATTATATGAAC